CATTCTGGAAAGGAAGAGATGATACCACTTTTATTAATTTCAGTGGACTAATATAAGAAATAGGGACATGGATAAAAGTCCACATGCATTCCAAGTCACTGAACTTTTCTTTATTCAATGATCTTTCATTTTTATAAAATTTCTGAGTGTATATCTTAAATTCTTGGGTTTCTTGAACTACTATAGTGCTTTTATTATTCTCCAGGTTTGGTGCTTTTCTGTGATAACTATTTACAGTTGTTGGGTCTTCAAAGCCTAGTTTCTGTGCTTTATGGGTATCCTCAGTTATTTCCACCCTGTCTTAATTGCTCATGAACTTCTTTTATAAAGTTTGTTTTTCATGGGTATTACCTGTTTTTGGTTAGTTTATGTTTCATTTGAAATTTTTTCTTTGTCTTTATTTTTGGTTTGTTTGTGTTTCATTTGAAATTTTTTCTTTGTCTTTATTCATATAGATTTGTATTAAATTCTGAAATTTCTCCTTTTATTATAATTTTTCTGAATTCAATGTTTTTTCCAGTTATAAATATGTATTTCATACATATTTTTCATGAAATTTTTATAAATCATATATATTTGTTTTCGGACTGCTATTCTTGTACATATTTGCTATTTGTAATAATATTATCTAACTTATTATTGACTTGCTTTCCAAAAATAACATGATTTGAAACGTGCCCCCTCTCCGGTTCCATGACACACTCATGTGACATTATTTCCTGTCTTTGTAAACCACCATGGTTGTGTTTCAAAATCATGTTAACAACCTCACATCTAAGGTCCTCACATTCTAAGGTGTCTCTTTTCTTTAAAAGAATGTTAAAAAGTATAATGTTTTGCTTCTGGAATTTTTCCACTTCTCTTATTTACTGTTATCTTATACTTTTCTGTCTTCCTTTCAAACTGAGTTTAGATTCCTTTCTTGGAAGTTTAACAAGTGTCTAGGACTTTGCCCCAGAGTGCCTCTTTTTGACTACAGACATTTCATGCACATTGGTAATGTCTACTTGTCTTATGCTGTGATAAAATACCATAAACAAAAGAAACTTATAGAGGAAAGAATTTGTTTTTGTCTCACAGTTTCAGATGGGAAGCTCATAAAGGTGGAAGAGACATGGAAGCAGGAAGCTGAGAGGTCACATCACAACCACAGCATAAAGCAGAGGTGAATTGGAAATGGGGTGAGGGTTTGGACTCTTGAAACCCACCCCTGCTCCAGAAGTGTGGCACCTGATAAAACTCCTCAAATATCTGCACCAACTGTGAACACACATTTAAATATCTGTGCCTACAGTGGAAATTTATTATCGAAATCATCATGTTCCACTCCCTGCTTCCCATATCATGGTCACCTCATGCTATACAATACATTTAGTCTTATTTAAAAGAGTTCCCAATATGCTTTAACAGATTCAACACTGTTCAAAGTCCAATGTCTTTTTTGACACTTGAGGAATTCTCTTAAATATAACCAACAGTAAAATCACAAACCAAATTATAGCACTTCAATGTACAATGACATAGAATATTTGTTCCCAATTCAAAATGGAGTTATAACAGCACAGTGAGGAAACACCTGGCTAAAGCGTGACCAAAGCCCGGCAGAGCAAATGCAAGTTCTTGTAGCACCATCCCCTATGTCTGGGTCCTCAGTTTTAATAGGCCTAGATGTCTGAATCCATGTAGCTTTACTTTCTGCAACAAACACCTCTCTCTTGTTCTGGTTCAGGTCTTTATATGCTGCTTTCATTGGCTGATGTCTCATAGCTCTGACATATCAACAGTTTTGGTGTCTCTACCTCAAACCAGTCTTCACTTTCACAGCTTCACACAATGGCCTCTCAGGGCATTTTTCTTGCAGGGACTTCCCTGTCACATGTGGGCTGGCGTCAAACGCTCCCTGAAATTGTGAAGGAAGAATCCACAACCCCCTTACTCTTGCATCTTTCATGCACCTAAACCAGTACCATGTCGATAACACTGCTGAGCTCCACTTCTAGCTTAGATGGACCCTTTCCCATCTGAGTCACATTTGCAGCAACTCTTGTGTGCTGTTGTTTTCTGGCAGGAGAAAACTTCTTAGGGCTTTTTCTTTCATGTTGGAAGCTTAGCTGAGTGGGGCACCCTTCCCAGTGTTCCAGTGATGAACAGAAAACATCTCCCAAATGGTTCTAATCCCCTTAACAATTTATAGTCTTTCTTCCAGCACATGCTATGCCTGAAACATGATGTTTCCTAGTTCTCTTTTTCAAAATAAATGGTATATTTGATATTTATTTCTGCCCCACTAACTCTTTAATTGTAGATCTGAAAAGAGATATCAGTAATAATGAAACCATAGATTCAACACTATTATGCCCTTAAAATTCCCCCACCAAAGAAATTTTTCGCTTATTTTAGTTTAACCTCAGGGAAGTTGTTAAGATAAGGGCAGAAAGCAGCTAGATTCTTTGCCAAAACATCACTTGGATAGTTTCTAACTCACTTTCTAATAGAGAACTTTTCCCTCTGAAACCTTATGAATTGGGGTCAAAATATTTCACATTACTCTCAGCACTATTGTGTTCCAGATTCCTTTTAGAAAGGCCTTTTAAACTCTGTTTACAGCATTCAGTCACTTTCCAAGCCCAAAGTTCCAAAGTCTTCCACATTCCTCAAGAAAACAACATGGCCAGTTTCTTCAAAACAACACCCTACTCTAGGTACCAACTTCTGTATTAGTACCATTTCTATTGATATGCTGATATCAATAGATATATTGATATGGTTCCAACCATAACCCAAAAGCCACTAGAGGAAGAGATAATATATTTTGGTATATAGTTCTAGATGGGAATCCACATTGTTGGGCAAGCATGGCAGCATGTGGTTGGAACACGAGCCTGATGTATCACATCTTTAGCAACAAGCAAAGCACAGAGATGGAACTTGAAGTGAGACAGGGCTATGAACTCTCAAAGCCCACTCTCAGTGACATACTTCTCCCAGCTAGGTTTCACCTCCTAAACCTCCCTAAACAGAGCCACCCACTTGGACAAGACATTCACTATCTAAATCTATGAGAGACATTTCTCATTCAACCCACCACATCATTGGTTGTTAATTAAGAAAAGAAAAATATTGGTGTAGATAAGCACTCTATTCTAGATATTATAATTAAAAGAAATACTTTTTATT